GGTGCACGTGGCTGGCGCCTTAGCCAATTGAGCCACAGGTGCCAAGCCAAACTATTCTTCAAATTCTTTTTATGGCCTATAAAGTACAATATCCAGTCATCTCTTGGTACCTGTGGAACTAATCCCCACAGGCACTAAAATCTACAAATGTTCAAGTCTATCATACAAAATAGTATGATATTTAAGCCAGGTGAGGTAGCTCACACCTGTAATCCCAGTACAGGGAAGTGAAGCAGGTAGATTATTTGAGCTCAAGAGTTTGAGACCAGCCTGAGCAAGACCAAGACCCTGTCACTAAAAACATCCGGGTGTTATGGCGGGTACCTGTAGTACCAGCTATTCCAGAGGCTGAGTCAAGAGAATTACTTGAGCCCAGCAGTTTGAAGTTGCTGTGAGCTGTGATGACATAGCACTCTACCAAGGGCAACAAAGTGATACTGTCTCAAAAAAAAAACCCATATATTTGCACATAACCTAGTACATCTTCTCATAACCTCTAGATTACTTATACTAGCTAATACAGTATAAATGCTCTTTAAAGAGTTGTTTTACTACGTTTAGGAAATAATGAAAAGGAAAAGTCTGTACATGGTTTAGTACAGATGCAGCCAGCCAAGTGTTTTCTGAGTAATTTCCATCCACAATTGGTTGAATCCACAGATGCAGAGAGTTGTATGATGAAGAATTCAAAGGTCTTGAGCGCTTTTTCATTTCTTTTCTTTCTTTTTTGAAATAGAGTGTCACTATGTCGCCCTGGGTAGAGTGCCATAGCATCACAGCAACCTCTTAGGCTTAAGCAATTCTCTTGTCTCAGCCTCCCAACTAGCTGGGACTATAGGCGCCAGCCACAAGCCCAGCTATTTTTTGTTTGTAGTTGTCATTGTTTGGCAGGCCGGAGCTGGATTCGAACCCGCCAGCTCTGGTGTATGTGACTGGTACCCTAGCCACTGAGTCACTTTTTCTTTTCTTAAGCAAATATACAGTTCTTTCAAGTTAACCATGTAAGTAATGTGACTCTACTTAGTGCCAAAGTACGTGTTGGGAAGTGTTGGGGCACAGTGTGAATAACACTGGCTTTGCCGTTAACCTAGGTCTCTATAACTTACCAGCTATATGATGCTGAGCAAGTTCTACTTAGCCTCTCTGTTTGCTCATGTGTAAAATGGCATTAAGTCCTAATTTGTTAGGACTAATGGTTGGTTGTGAGAATTAAATGCAATAAAGCCCCTAGTCCAGTGCCAGGCACAAATACACTGCTCTACATAAGGTATTAATTATTAACATCATGAGAGCATAAGAAACAAAGAAAGGTTCCTATAATTTATAAGAATCCAAGGGTCTCTCACATGTGATGAATCTAAGGTGACTCATTAGAAATCTTAATCTCTGCCCTCAAGCCTATGAAGCCATTCCTTAAGTTTCAAATACTCTGTACTTTCCTATCTCATGCTTTTGCTAAAGGGGCTCCACTGCTTAAAACCCCCTTCTGCCTCACATCTAATAAGCAGCTCAGCAGGCAGGGTTCAAGGCCCAGCTTAAATCCATTCTTTTCTAAGCTTTCTCTTAGAGAGTCCCTCTTATAATTCACCTCTCCTCCCCCATATCCCTCTACATTATACTTTGGTTACAGTATTTGTGCTCTCTATTTATTTACCTGTGTTTTCTACTAGGTTGTGTTCCTA